AAACTTATCACATCATCACGATCAATATTTTCCCTATTCGTATATTTAAGTGAAGCCGTCGGTGACTTCCTGAGATTGCTCATCACTTGTCATTATCGTCGCTTGTTCCCGGTCACTGTATCGTCATTATGGTCAGGCACTGTCTCCAAATCGCTGATAACTTTTTGAAAACTGATAACTTCTTGAAAACTGATAACTTTTTGAAATTTGAAATTTGAAAACTGATCATTAATGCAATTTGAAAACTGATGGCTTATAATGAAACCTCCACTTAACTCCACATATATTCATTATCCTGGCTATAACCCAGATATCATTCTGAATTACCTTCCCCATACATCTGATATCGTCGACAACGATTTAGAGACACTGCCTGACCATAATGACGATACAGTGACCGGGAACAAGCGACGAGGAACAAGCAACGATAATAACAAGTGATGAGCAATCTCGGGAAGTCACCGACGGCTTCGCTTATAATATCGAATGGGAAAATACTGATCGAGAATTGCTGGGAATAACCGTTGACAAAGATCTCTTCCCAGAACTCATCTGCAATTTATTACGTTAAATTCAGATACCAGTACACACAGTACTGGTGGAGAACTATCGGGAACAAATGGTGAAGTATTACACAATGGGATTTTCTTCCAACCCTTACAGTCCACTCAAACGTGTTAAAATCAGATTACATGCAATTAAGAACGAAATTGATTTCGCTATAGCAGAAAATTCGCAGTTATCTGCTTTGCGATATCCATCCATTAAACAAAACTTTTTATTCCAAATATATGGCAGGAAAGTGAACATTTTCTAGTAATTCAAGTGAAATGTGATATGATAAGTTTATTTTGCACACTTTCGTGATCAGTTTTCAAATTGCATTAATTAATTAGCAAATACTGTAATACAGTGCCAATTACAAATACAAATGTTATAAGAGTTTTTCAGAAGAGCAAAATCGTGAGCGTCCTCATGCCGAATGTAATGTGCTCTTTGAGAGTAGCGGTGAATATAGAAAACGCACGAAGAAACATTTATTTTGCACATGCAAACGACCCAATTGTGGTCGAACTTTCAATCATTCATCGCTTGCCTCTCACAAGGAAATACGTCAATGCGAAAACTGTAACAAATCATTCAGCACCAAGAGCAACTTGAACAGACACATGAGCGGATGCTTTGTAACTTCTCGTTAGTTTCAGCAGAATTTCAAGCACATTTTTCTATATGGAACAGTAGCATGCACATGAAAATGTGCCGCAGAACATCCACGATCATGGAGTAGCAATGCAATATTCAATAAATATTGCAATGCAGAAAACGAAGACAAACTGCACCAAAGTGTTCATTTTCTTTGACGCAGTGAGGCAGCATTTAGAAAATATTCGTTCTAGACCTAACTGTAGTACGTCCGCAATTAAGGCATACTTTGAGAAATACACGAAAAAATGCGTAAGCGTCAGAAGTTACGCGGCATTTTCAGTGCTACGTCGCAGCAAATGCCAATTTATAGTCTCATCTTAACATTGGTTTTCTGATCTATTTTGTTTTCATTCTCTTTACTAACCCATATATTATAACAATAGTAATTATTGACAGAATTGACTATTTTTTAAAATTAATTCCTGCCAAAAATCAGACTGTATATCCGATCTTTCATGATCACCCGATATTATAAGAGTTTTCAGAAAGCGAATTTATGAATGTCCTTATGTCGGATGTACTTTGCGCACGAACAGTCTCAAAGAATATAGAGAACACAGGAAAACGCATGACGAACCATTTATTTACGAATGCAAAGAACCGAATTGTGGAAAAAGTACAATCATAGTGGATCATTAGCCAATCACAAGAAACAAACATCATCTAAATATCAATGGGGAAACTGTAACAAACCATTCATTCGAAAGTACATCTTGAAAACACACATGGAGCAATGCTTCA